AACAGTCAACATAAAACATTTCTTTATAAATTATAAATAGCCTCAAGTATATAAAAGTAATTTCTTTAAACGCCATCAATGTTTAAATGCAATTTAAAATTATGAACATAATGAAAGAGAATCGTTAACGTTATCAGTCCTCCGATCTAATGGTAATATTAGCCGTTTTCTTATAAGACGAACATTTGGCATTCAGTAACCGAACAGCTTGTATTACTGTCGTTTGAAATTTATAAAATCTATCTCTTCATTCAATTGTTCTAGTTCCACGTGTCTTGCTTCTCCCGGATGAGAAAATAACAAAATCTGTTATTTCCATTTTAAATGTTTTATTAAGGTATGCGTTACATATATGTGTAAATAATAATTGTACATCTGAAAGTTGTTACTTATATCGAGTTCCCAAAGTCGGTACCTAATTTCGAATATATATATATATATATATATATATATATATATATATTTGGTGTGTATGTTCTATTTGTTATCTCAACTCAAATCTCCAAGTTTTTTTCACAACTGCAGTAGCCAGGTATTGAACTCACAACTTTTGGGGTCATGTCACTGGATCCAACCAACGCTTTTACCTGCCATGTGAACCAGATCAATCTATCTCGGTGGACGAAATAAAGGGTTCGGTTGGAAAATTCAATCTCCTGAAGAAAGCCGGAGAGTACAATGTCCGAAACGTCGTGAATGCTGAAAAAAGATGAAAACAACAATCCCAACAATGTAAATAAATAAAAAAAAACCCACTGAAAATTAAAACAAAAACAACTAAATTTAAAACAGAACTAGATTAACTTAGAATAGGTTCGAATGAGTTTAAATTTCCGTGAACAAACAGGTAAAATGGTATGAACTCGTTCAAGTGTAGTCAGGTACTGTCTTATCAAAATGTATATGTATGCGATCATATGAAAAACTGCTTTCCTCTCCGAAAGTTATGCGAAGGCACCAGTCTAAAAACTGTTAAAATGGCTTATATGAATTCAGTCAACAATAATATGATATTGGCTGGTCAAAATAAATCGTCATCCAATCATTGGACTTACTGTTATGATAACATATCTACGTTAGAATGAACTCTTCCTCCTATCAAGTACTATCATGTGTAGAAATATTGTTTTTGTTGTGTTGATGGATTCAACCATTTTCTTTTGATTTCTTGATACAGGTGTGTACGTTGGCAGAGTATTAATTCTGTTAGGAAAGGTGATATTGTCAACGAAACAACAAAAAATGTTTTTAAACGTGATAGTACTTGACGTAATATTCAGTTGACAATATGAATATAATAGCGTTTTTCTAGATTCTTCTCGTTGCCAAGGACATTTTGTTAGTTGTTAATAGTTACTTTGTTTTTAATAAATTCATTTCGTTTTCGCCTTGAAAATTTCGCATAGGACGAAACACGTCGGCTGGCAATACAGTTTTCCTGTTGTCTTTTACCTTTATACATATTGTCTTTTTCTACAGATTAAATCTGATAAATTTTTTCATATACAATTATATAAATCTTATTACACACATATAGGAGTGATAATATACTGTCATAAATGGGTATATACGAACCCATCAATTTTATACTTGGGATATATACTAGCCTAACATAATTTATTAGTCGTGTATAATATAGGCTAGCCAAACATAAATCCTGAATAAACATCTGAGTGGTTGTATACACACGGCTGTTATGTTGAATTTAAATCATTTTTGCTGACGTCGGGTTTCGGTGTCATTTTGAATAAGCGATTTGACTCAAAATCTGTTATCTCCATTTTAAATGTTTTATTAAGGAATGCGTTACATATATGTGTAAATAATAATTGTACTTCTGAAAGTTGTTACGTATATCGAATTCCCAAAGTCTGTACCTAATTTCGAAAATGTGTATATATATATATATTTGGTGTGTATATTCTACTTGATTTTTTTTTCTCTTAATTAAAAATATTCTTTCTTTTTTTTTTTTGACAATCTTGAAAGTTTGTTTCTAATTGTTAATGATCTAAGTCGGATTTCATCAGTAAACACACTCGCATATATATATATATATATATATATATATATATATATATATATATATATATATATATATATATATGTGCATGCTCTTGGAGATTCTTTCATTTTGCCTCGTTCTAAATGAATTAAGAAAAGGGTAATTGGGCACCAATTGCTTTTAGATGTCAGTAGAAATTCTATAAGAAAATAAAAAGAATACATAAGATTGGTCTTTTAAAAAAAAGGTCTATTGAGAAAGCATAAAATATAAACGCAGAGAAAATTGTTATTTGAAGCAGAAAATCTCGGAAGGTAAAAAGAAAAAGGATGAAAGCAAAAAATCGCGCAGTTTTTTTTTACTATTTTTTTTTCTTAAAAGCAGAAATGAGAGCAAATTGAATTGACATTATGTAGTCTGTGTGCAGACTCAGTCGACAGGGAAATGTCGAATACGCGCGTCCTCACATACAGAAAGAAATACTTCAAAAAATAA